TTGGTGGGGAGGGGTGTGGGGGCCATAGGGGGAGCGGTCTGTAACAAAGGAAAGACAAAGTCACCCCATACAACCACTCATTGGCTTATGACAGCAGGCCACATCAACCACAACTGTTTGCAGCCTGAGGTGGCAGCATTCTACATGCTCACATCTGTGCTAATACTTTCCTCCCCTCTGCTCCCTCCCTGATGGCTCTTTCCCCATCCTCCCTGACAGCTGTCACATTCTAGAGCTCCTCTTCCTCCACCCACTCTTTCATTTTGGTGATTTGGTTTTTCCCAGTTCAGTCAGTTGATGTCTTTCTGTATTATCTCATCCTACATTCACTCATTCCTCTACCCAGTCCCTATCCTTGACAAGCACACAATCCAGTGGGGGAGATAGATGTGTCACTAGAATAGGTACAATACATCACAGTCAATGCTGTGAAAGAAATATAACAAAGCGCAGTGAGCACATATTCATCTGTCATTACCCCACTCTATGTCTTCCAAATCAATACTCTGCCTTCCCGCTCTCTTATAGATCAGTTACTAAATCCTGTATCTTTCCAAAATATCCCCTGATCTCCAATTCCACCTCAAAGTTTAGGCTTCATTTCTTGCATGACTATTTCAACCACTTTCTATTATAAACATAATTCAATATATAGCCACTTTGTCACATGAGCAATCTCCCCAAAAGAGATAACATACCATACCATCCCCTTGCTTTGCAACACCTAATCTTTCCAATGTCTGAGAAATGAAGTCCGAATCCTTGGCATCAAATAGGATCTTTTAAAAGCAGGCTGAGTTCCACTTCCAATGCTTACTACCTATGTTATCTTTGGCAGGTCACTGTCAGGAGCATCACATTCATTCTCAGATAACACAGTCAAAAGAAAAAAAATCACTGAGCTTTTTCTTTTATCTTTTTCTCTTTTTAAATAGAGATGGGGTCTCACTATGTTATTCAGGCTAGTCTTGAACTCCTAGGCTCAAGTGATTCTCCCGCCTCAGCCTCCCAAAGTGGTGGGATTACAGGCATGAGTGACTGCACCCAGCCACACTGACTTTAAAATAAATATATAATAATATAAATTTAATAATACAAAACCTATAAAGCCTATAATAAGGAAAAATAGATCAGAAATAATTTTCAAGAGATTAATATATTTATGATACTAGTGCTAATGAAAATTGGTGAGAAGACTCCAATAAATTTATGGATGATGGACAAATAAAGGAGAAAATAAAACTAGAAGAATACTGCTTTTGTTTTTCTACTATGGATTATGATGTTAGACTGCAAGTAACCTTATCATCGTTTTTAAAAAAAACAAGCTTTTAAAAGCAAAATCCTATGAAGTACAATAGAACTAATCAACCAAACTCTACTGGAGTCAGGTGTAAATCAGTATCTTTTAGAAGTAAATCTGGTAATATTTTTCAAAATTAACAAAACCTTCATACCCTCTGACTTTGTCATCCTGCTCCTAGGCCTTTAGCTTAAAGGAAAGACGCAAAATTATGAACTATACACTAACTGCATTACCTGCAAAATAGTAAGCAATCTAGATGTGCAATTGTTAAGAAACAAGTCACTGTAACACTGCATAATCATCTAAAGGTATAAAAACTACAGCAAAAATGAAACATCCAATATGAAAACAAATATTCAGCATTACATTTATGCTTTATTGTTTAAAATCACTTAGACATGACAAGAGATAAGAAGAAAAATTAAAAGTTTGTTTTGATTCTTAAAATTTCTTTGACCATTAAGTTGTTGGTAAGATAAAAAGCCTTTTGGAATTGGTCAGGCCCATACCACTAAGTACACATTTTAAAACGGACTTTTTAGAGACAGCCACAATCATCAATTTCCCCCCCTCCAAAATCCTATCACATAGGAGTAAGACAGGCTCTTCTCACAGACAAGCCACATAAGTAATTTTAGCCATTACCCAGCTGCAACCTTCTTAAATTAAAATCTCATTTTACCATCAAAACTTAACTATATGAGAGACCTCCATATGGTGATCAGAAGCCACTTGTTATGGGGCATCTGGAGAGAGGGCACCAAGGAGTGATGTTAAAACTATCTGGCTGAATGGAATAGTGAAGGTTAGGTTACTTATATCCCCAAATGAATTATCATGTTTCTCAGCCACAAGGGTTCTAAGTCCCTAGAAGTGGCAGCTATGGATTCAAAAAGGAATAAAGTACAAGCAGATGTGCACTCCCTCTGAAAAAACTAGCAACTCCTTCATTTCACCCCAAAGCACCATGGAGTGGCGAAAAACGCACAATCACAAGGTCAGATGTGAAATATAGGTGAACCTAAGCAATCTCAAACAAGTTATTTGTCTTTTCAGCCTGGAGCTGTTTAATGCTAAAATTTTTAAAGTTAAACCAAATAATCTGTTAATTCTTTCAAGTTCAATATTCTATTAATTTAACATACCCTTTATTCAGTACACCTCCAATTCGCTCACAACCCCCATTGGAATTGTAAAACAATTAAAATTTAGAATTAGGAGACTGGGAGCAAAAGTCAAATACAAAGATGGTCAAACCTGGACTGTAATCCTTGCCTTCCCTTTCTACCTGTATGACTTTGGGCAAATTACTATGCCTCAAAATAAAGTTGTAGGACCAATGAAGCAGCATCTTTATTGGTCATGCTCTTAAGTTCCTGTGTCATAAAATGAACTTTTTAAAACATAACTGGGGCTTCATTCCTAACCAGCAACAATTTTTGCTTCATTCTTGGATATTTAAGACAACCTTGTGCGTTCTTCTTTTCTAAATTATCTGATGCTGAATACAGTGGTCTAACATATTTCACCTATCTTATAGCTATATTCAAGACTTGGATTATTTGTCAAAAACGCATTGAGTAAATGGTTTTTGAGGATTTGCACCACACAACTCTGTGTTAGGGTTGCAAAGTTCTGTTCCCGTAAGAAGCCCAAAAACCAGTTGGCTCAGGCCTGTAATCCCAGCACTTTGGGAAGCCGAAGTCGGTGAATCACCAGGTCAGGAGTTCAAGACTAGTCTGACCAACATAGTGAAACCCCATCTCTACTAAAAATACGAAAGAATAGCCAAGTGTGGTGGTGTGTGCCTGTAATCCCAGCTACCAGGGAGGCTGAGGCAGGAGAATCTCGTGAATCTGGGAGGCAGAGGTTGCAGTCAGTTGAGATCAAAGCCAACGCACCCTGGCCTGGGCAACAGTGACAGATACCCTCTCAGGAAAAAAAAAAAAAAAAAAAAAACGAAGAAGGCCAAAAACCTGGTGGAGACAGACATACAAACAAATCATTAACTACCTGTTATCAAATACTAACTGCAGAATGTACAAATCAGTTAAGACAAGAGGAATGAGCTGTCTAGACAAGCCTCAGAGATAACACTTTAGGTAAGGTCTTCAAGGGCAAGTTGTTTACTAGGTAGAGAATTCTCAACAAAGGAATACTGAAAAACCACAGAGGAAGATGTCATCTTCAGAGAACTGCAAGCAGTCTTATACGGAGAGGGCAGGCATAATGGTAGAAGATGACACTAAAATGTTGACAAATACCACTAGTCATGAAGGACTTTGAATTTTATCGATATAGACTATGGAGTCACTGAAGGACTTCTAAATATGGATTCAAAGTCCTTTCTTCCACCACACAGTCAAAGGAGTTGAGTCAAAGCAACAAAAACGCGGGTCTGAATGTGGAAAGGTAGAATTTTTACAGAATTCTTAATGGAGACTTTCTGCTTGCTTTCAGGATGGCTTCTAGCGCCTTCTTAACTATGGCTAATTAATACGATGCTGAAGTACCACAGTATAAATTATGGCTAAAAGGTTCAACAAAGTGCATTTTTAACCCGGAGATTATTTGAACCCAATGTGCTAAGAACACAAACGAAAACAAAAAATAACAGTAAAGAGTTTTCACAAATTAAGAGAAGCAAGCAGTAATGAAGTCCAAGAGAAAGAACACTGATTTCAGGCAAACACTCAGGAATATTTACATCGTTATCATATACTGATGACGGATAAGATGTTTTGCACCTACCTTTTGCAGGAGAGCATCTTAAGTTCCTTTTGGTTAAAGAGCAGCTGCCATCTCTAAAGTCTCTAAACTAGTCTAAAAGAGGATGCTCTAAAAACACTGGCCAAATTTATAGGCTCTGCTATATTTTAACGCTCGGGAAAAAAAGGAATGCCTTTCATATGGCCATTTTGAAAAGCTTAAAGCTCAATTTCTCACCCATAGGAGTGAGCAACCAACACTCTAATCGGAGACCAGAGTCCCTGCATCAGTCATTTCCACCCCGCTAAGGCCTAGTCTGGGAGCAGCCAGCCTCACTGCCCGGGGAGCCCACACAGATGAATATGCAATTATTGAAATGAAAACTTAAGTTTCGCCACCAAGGGCCACCACGAAGGAGTCCTCGCATTCCTTTTACTTTCGCAAGAAAGTAGGTGCATTACAAATAAAATGTATGAAAATACATGTCTAAAGAGAAGAGAGAGGATCTGAATCTACGGCAACGGTGTGCCCCGCCAAAGTTCCACCTCAGGATGGGTTTTAGGGTGTGTCTTTGATTTAGTCCTGAAATTACAAAAAAAAAAAAAAAAAAAAAAAAAAAAAATCCCACTCCTTGGGGCGCCCCGGTACTTTCCTCATCCACCCTCACAAGCTACCAGGTTCTGAAATCACTGAGTGCCTCGGCCTCGCCCTGATTCCCCGTGAAGGCGGCGGCGCCCGCGGCCCGAGGCCCCACGCTGTCACAGCCGCAGGGAGGGCGCCCTCCAGCCTCTCGGGTCCGCGCCCGCCCCGCGTCTGCGGGGAGCTAGAGAGGCTGACCCCGGAGGCCGGGGGACAGGAGGGCGCCACCACCTCAGCCCGGGAGCCCCGGCCACCGCCCCGCCCCGCACTGTGCGCCTAGTCCTGGGCTGCCCCCGGAGCCCGCGGCGACCCCGGCCCCGGCTCGGGCCCTGAGCCCCGCGCTCACCGTGCGGAGGTCGCGCTGCCTCCTCTTCCGCCTCCCAGCAGGAGGCCGCCCAGCGACCCGCGGGCCGGAGGAAGGAAGGTGAGGCTAGGGCCGCCCGTCACATCCTCGCCGTCCCCGCAGCTGAAGCCTCAGCAACCAGCATCGCGTCCGCGGCCTGAGGGAGCGCAGGACTCCAAAGCCGCCGCGCCCCCTCCCTCTGCCGGCGCCAGCCTGGACTCCGCCCTCCAGGGTCCACGAAACGCGCGCGCGCAGCCCCGCCCCGCCGAGTGACCATGCGCAGGCGCGAGCCTCACGGGGCTACGGAGCCCGCCCCCACCGCGTGATCCAGCCTCAGCCCACCTCTGGCCCCGCCCCACCCTCGCACCAGACTTTCCCAAGCTCCGCCCCACTGCGGCCCCGCCCCCTCCACTGACCTTGCTGGGCTGCCTCCTGACTCAGGTTTTTGCTCGGCCCACGCAGTGACGCTCGTCTTGCGGACGACCTCACCTCTAGCCGTCCGCGGGACTGCATTTGCTGCTTGACCGTGGTCAAACCTGACAGCTCTTTCTCCAGGATGTGAAAAGTGAGGAGTGGTCTGAGCATTGGGCATGACTGAACCACGCACCTGCCTTCCGCTTCAAAACACAGGATCTTGCTAAGGCTGAGGGGAAGGGGCACCCCACATGCTAATCTGGTTTTCTTTTTTCTTTCTTTTTTTTCCTTTTTTTTTTTTTTTTTTTTTTTTGAGACCGAGTCTAGCTCTATCACCCAGGTTGGAGTTCGGTGGCGCTGTCACAGCTTACTGCAGCCTCCTGGGCTCAAGCGATCCTCTCGCCTCAGGTGTGCACCTCCACGATTACGAAATAATTACATCTAAGACCAAACTGGTCAAAGTGAACTATCACATACTGATCACATATGTACACATATTTATATTTTAAAATATAAAAATACACGGCTGATTTTTATATTTTCTTTTTAGAGACGGGGGAAGTAATCTTACAGGCTGATCTCAAACTCCCAGGCTCAAGCAGCCATCCCACCTTAGCCTCCCAAAGTGCTGGAATTACAGGCGTGAGCCACCGCTCCTGGCCGATGTGGTTTCCTTTGCCAGACACCAGGTCCTTTGGGCCGTCCATCTCCCAGAGGCCATCTCTTCCCGTCTTTTCTTCCTCGACCACGGCCAGCCCGGCCCCTGAGAGCTCTCAGCCTGGAAGCCTTCCGGGCCTGGTCGGCTGTTTAAAGCGCTGGAGCTGCCCTTATCTGGTTGTAGACTTGCAGTTCTCTTAAATCCTTGTCCGCCCCAACAGCTCGACTGCAATAAATAACATTTCAGGAGAACTGCTTGAAAAATAACAGTTCCTTTATGTCTCCAGATCAGTGATACTCAAATGGGAAAAGCATAGAGTTGCCTGATTTGTATGACCATATTTCATTTAATAATATATTTTTATATTTAGAAAATAATGGCTTTTAAATATCAGTCCCTAAAAGATTTTATTGGACGAAAATGTGCGTGCTCAAAATGTTGAGAAAGAGTAGGTCTAATCGCTGTGCAATTTCTCTTTGGATTAAGTGAGATTAGAAAAGCAAACAGCAGGCTGGGCGCGGTGGCTCACGCTTGTAATACCAGCACTTTGCGAGGCTGGTGGGGGGGTCAGATCAGGAGGTCAGGAGTTCGAGTCCAGCCAGACCAATATGGGGTAACCCCATCTCTACTACAGAAATTAGCCAGGGATGGTGACACGGGCCTGTAATCCCAGCTACTCAGGAGGCTGAGGCAGGAGAATCACTTGAACCCGGGAGGCAGAGGTTGCAGTGAGTCGAGATTGCGCCAGTGCACTCCAGCATGGGCGACAGAGCAAGACTCTGTCTCAGAAAGAAAGAAAGAAAAAGGAAGGAAGGAAGGAAGGAAGGAAGGAAGGAAGAGAAAAGCAAGCACCAGATGGAACTCTTCAACACACCCCCTCAAGAACATCGTTCAAGAGATGCAGTTATGAAAATGTGCTTCGGGGTTTATGCCACCAGCTAAATTGAGAGATGGTTCAAGAAAGGGCTCCCCACAACTTATCCTGGGGAATCAGGGATGCTACATTATCAAGCCTCCCTCCATGTGATGATGAGGGAAAGAAACATCTCTCAATTCCCAAAACCAGGAAGAGCTATGCTTCTCTAAACTGCTAGGCTGTTGTCTTGTGATTGACTGCCTGATTACTTGAGGTGATCATGTGTTCTTTTATCTGGGGCAGTTGTGACAGACTCAGTAACCCTTCCCTTCCTCCTCCACAAAGTTAGAAGGCTTACTGGGTGCTTGCTGCACACAGTATTTCCAAGTTTCATCTGATTTTCCCTATTCCTATTTTGTCTTTATCTCAATGTTCTCATTTCCTTGGTTGTTACCGTGTCACATGAATTTTATTTCTATTAGCCATGTGATTCGAAATGTACAGAATTATAATTTACGGAGATGACTAAAATGACACGAGGGGTCTCAATACATTGAAAGAAGATTTTTATTACCTACATTTCTCAGGGGCTGGGAACGTGCCTCTTCATACAAGGGCACATGAAGAAGCACCAGGTTTGGTCAGGAGGCAAGAGCAGAAGTGAGGGGAAAGCCCAGAACTTTAATTGAAATTTCTGGTGGAAAGGCAAGACAAGGAAGGGGGAAAAGCTTGGGATTAGCTAGTTTGAGTAACGTCAGCGAGTAATGTCAGCGAGCTCTGGGCTATTAGGGTGGTCTCTAGTTGGCTGGTACCTGGCCTTGGGTGAGTTAGGAAAGGGGAAATATTGGCTTGGTGTGAGAGAGTTACATAAAGAGAGTGGTTCGAACTATGGACTTGGGTTTGTTTGGAAGGCTTCAGAATGATTTTTACACACTCACAGAAGCTAGATTTCAGGGGAGGTGTAAACAACTTTGACTATTAGCTTGGCTTTGTATTAATGGATGTCAACTAGACAAATACAGAATCTGAAAAAAAAAAAAAAAAACACCAAAAAAAAAAAAAAAAAAAACGTGGGCCAGGCGTGGTGGCTCATGACTGTAACCTCAACACTTTGAGGGCTGAGGCTCGAGGATCACTTGAGTTTACAAGTTCAAGATCAGCTTGGGCAACATAGAGACCTCGTCTATGAAAAAAAAAAAGTTACCCAGACTTAGCGGCATATGCCTGTAGTTCTGGCTATTCAGAAGTCTGAGGCAGTAAGTTTACTTGAGCCCAGGAGGCTGCGACTACATTGAGCTAAAATCATGCCACTGCAGTCCAGCCTGAGTGACAGAGCAAGACTCTGTCTCAAAAAAAAGAAGAAAAACAAAAAGAGGCTAGGAAAAAATTCCCATAATTCTAATACATGTATGTACATACTTAGCAGACTCACGGTAGCATTTTAGTGTATTTTCCTAATTTTATAAGCATCCTTGATATATTTTATTTGTTTTGAGTTATTTTTCCTGGCCCCCCTTCTTTTTTTTTTTTTCTTGAGACAGAATGTCGCTCTGTTGCCCACACTGGGGTTCAGTGGTGCGATTTGGGCTCACTGCAGCCTCCACCTTCCAAATTCCTGCAATTCTCCTGCCTCAGCCTTCCGAGTAGCTGAGATTACAGGCATCTGCCACAACGCCCAGCTTATTTCTGTATTTTTAGTAGAGACAGGGTTTCACCATGTTGGCCAGGCTGGTCTCAAACTCCTGATCTCAAGTGATCTGCCTGCTTCAGCCTTCCAAAGTGCTGGGATTACAGATGCGAGCCACCGTACCTGGCCTGCCCATCCTCCATCTTCAAAACCAGCAAGAGTAGTTTGAGTCCTTCCCACACTGAATCACTCTGACCTCCTCTTCTGTCTCAGTCTTCTACTTCTAAGGACACGTGATTATGTTAGATCCAACTGGATGCTCTAGAATAATGACCTTATTTTAAGGCCAGTTGATTAGCAGCCTTAATTCCATCTGCAACCTAAATTCTTGTTGGCTGGTATCCCCTTGATGTAAGAGAGAGACATTCTTTCCGGGGAAGTTTTAGAGTTCCATGACTAATAGCACAATGAAACATTTGTTAGAGCCCCGGTAGATGATTCTGGAGACCATCCCAAAACAGACAAGCTGGGTGCAATCTCACACACCTGTAATTCCAGCTACTTAGGAGGTTGAGGCTGTAGGACTGCTTGAGGCCAGGAGTTCAAGCCCCACCTGGGCAACATAGCAAGACCCTGTTTCTTAAAAAAAAAATACAAAATTACAACAGATGAGAATCTCCGATGAAATCTCCTGGCTAGGCATGGTGGCTCAAGCAAGAGCTTTGGGTGGCTGAAGCAGGAGGATAACTTGAGACCAGGAGTTGTGACCAGCCTGAGCAACATAGAGAGACCCCCACCCATCTCTACAACAATAAAAAAAAAAATAGAAGTTATCTGGATGTGTTGGTGCAACCTTGTAGGTCTAGCTACTCAGGAGGCTGAGGTGGGAGAATTTTTGAACCCGGGAGTGTGAGGCTGCAGTGAGCTATGACTGCGCAACCACACTCCAGCCTGGGAAACAGTGAGACCCCTATCTGTAAATAAATAAGAATAAAAGAGAAATCTCCTCCTTTCATCTCACAAGTATTTACTGAGCATCTACAGGCACTGTTCTGGATTAAGTCATGAACAAGGATACAAATCAATAGGATTGACATTCTAGAAAAATCACCAGTTCTCCACAGAAGGCAGTCTGATGATGGAAATTCTTGGCTCCCACAGTCACAGAAAGTTTCCTTTTTTGGCCATAACTTCTCTTCCTTTGGATGCCCTGATGCCTTCTGGATCTAGAATCTGGCAACAAGGAGCATCTTCAGCAGTAAAGGACAGAGTATTCAAGATCTGGCCTCCTGGATGAAGATGGAGAAATCCTGCTTCTCAACCGTGAAGATGACAAACGGGAGCAAAGTAGAATAAATTCCTTCCTTTAACTCCCTAAATTGCTGGGCCCAAGCCCAGAAAAGTGAAGAACAACGTATTCATCAGAGTTCTCTAGAGGGACAGAACTAATAGGATAGCTGTTTATTAGGGTGTATTGACTCACACGATTGCAAGGTGAAGTCCCACAATAGGCCATCTGCAAGATCAGAAGCAAGGAAGCCAGTCAGAGTCCCAAAGCCTCAAAGGTCGGGAAGCCAATGGTGCAGACTTCAGCAAGAGCCCCGGGCAAGTCACTGGTGTACGTTCAAGAGTCCAAAAGCAGAAGAACTTGGAGTCTGATGTTTGAGAGCAGGAAACATCCAGCACGGAAGAAA